CAATAGATGCATCATCAATTGAAATAAATTACTAATTTCTAGTCAAGTTTCATCTTTATACTCTCTGCAAAATCAATTACTAATTTGGAAACAATATGAAGTTTTGGAAGAAAGAACATCATGCTAGAATAGGGGCACCCAGCCACCCACTTCCACCAAATTCCAAAACTGCGGTGTTTAAGAGTAATTACACGGTGATCAGAACATAACCGCAGTTCCATAATATGCTGCTTGACAATCATCAATTGATCACCATTAGCTTGAGCAAGTACACAAGGAAAAATTTCATTAAATGAGAGCGCATTCCTAAAAGCTAAAGTCCCCAACTGCAATTTGCAATTTCATCTCTTACAGATCATCAAGTCTTCCCCACAGCGCCGACGACGGATTTTCTACCCGACCGGCGCTGCCAACAAAAAAAAAAACAAAAAATATGGCAATCAACGGCGGTGTCTTCTTTCTTTTGTCGTCGGCGAGCTGCTCGGGTTGGGGTGAGCAAGGGAGGCGACTGAGCAGGGGAGGCCCGTTTGGAAAGGCGACAGAGCAGGAGCAGAGGCGGCACCTTCTTCTTCTTCGATTTTTTGGGTGAACGGTGGCAGATTTGGATTGGGGGCGACGAAGGGACTATGGATTGTTTGATTAGGGTTTATAATTGAAATTGGATTGAGAGATAAATATGTCAATTTATTGTGTTTTAGAGCGATAAAATTTTAATTAAAGGACGAAGAATAGCGATTCAGAAAAAAATCTAGTAAACAGTACTTGCTAAAAAAAAGAATAAGTCTAGTACCATCCATATTTTCTAAGAAATAATGATTTTAACTATTACCCTTTATATATAATACTATCAAGATCTTGCTAAAATTGAGGGTGAACAAATGAGAAACAACATAAATAAGAAAGTCCCGTCTTTCCTACAAAACTGGCAAAAGTCAGATTATAACTTTCGCCCTCTTTTCTAACTATCATCTCCTACTAAATGAGATCCCTATTGCAAAATTGTCCACTAAAATAGAATGCAGGAAGGTTCTAAGTGGTTGAACAAATGAGAAACAACACAAACAAAAAAAAGGGGGAAAAAGGAAAGAAAAACGAAGCACCCTATATGTCTTATCCGACTCTGCTCAAAGAGTTTGTAAAATCATCATGGTTTGCAGGTTAAGAGGAGCCCATTCAAGCTGAAGGTACACTTCAAGGAACACCATCTTGGTTTGCTTCGGTTGACGAATTCTGCATGTTGTTGTTTCCATCCTTTGTTGTGTCCTCACCATCCTTCCGATTAACGCTCTGGCTGCCAGCCTCCGTGGTCGTCTTATCTTCTCCTATTACCACTACTCTATTGGAGTTGAAGGGCTCAAGAGCTGAAGAAGCACCCTCCATACCCAACTTGCTAAGAATAGGATCTAATCCTTGGACTGGACAAGAAGTTGCTTCCCTCATATCGAAATCCCCGGCCATATCATCTTTGTTGTTGTCGTCGTCATCTTCTTCTTCATCAGATCCAACCTCACACCCAGAACTGCTGCTGCAGCTCTCATTATCTAGTTCGTGGTGGGGGGATTCCCTGCCACCTTCACCATTTCCTGCAGGTCTGAGATCATTAGCTTCCACCATATCATGAGGCTGCTGCTGCCACTGTTGAGCCAATAATGGCACTACTGTCTCGCCAAGCACCAAACTTTGCTCTCCTCTTATTCTCAACCTCTCCCTGTAACCCTCCATTTCTGATCTGTATCTTTCTTTATCTTTCATAGCTATCTCTTGATAGACCTTTTTTACCCAGACAAAGGAGAAAAAAATGGTTAAGAAAGAGTGGTAACAATGAAAAGAATCCACATCCAAACACATGTATATTGACATCCTTACAGATCTTTCCCCATCCTTGAGCTTGTTCCAGAGCTCACCAATCATCCTGCTAATCTCTCTGTCCTTCCCTGGAAGGAGTGGCTTTAGTCTAGCATGCTGTTCGGCAAAGAAGAAGTTGTAACCACTTCTGTTGGGTTTCGGATGATCAGGATCCCTCCTTTTTATCTCATTCTTCTTTCTTCTGCGCCTGCGGCGATGTACAACTACACCATCCACGGCCACATTGCTGTTGTTGGCGTTGGCCAACAAACTGTAATAGTTTTGTTGATTCTGCTGCTGCTGCTGCTGCTGCTGCAACATTTGGCAATGCTGTTGTTGGCCTTGATCAGTTGTTGCCTGATATAGAACACCTTGCAACTTCTCACCGCCTACTACGACAGTAACAAGATAACCGCTGTCAAACTTTCCATCAATTACACCGACTGCCACTGCTGGAGTACCTACTGCTGCTGCTGACGCTGCCTTGGCTGCAGTCAATAGGAGAGTTCGAGTGTCAGGTAGAAAAGAATATATAGCAGCAACTACGAAAATGACGAAGAGGAAAATTTAGGGCGACGAATAGCGTTTCAAAAGAATCAAGGGAGACCTCCTGGTGCTTGATGTGCAACATTTATTTGCTGTTGTTGTTGTTGTTGTATTGCTGCTGCAGCAGGTGGTCGGTATCCTGGTAATGGGTGAACAGGAAACTGAACTGCAAAATGCCCTCCCAGTGGGTTTTGTGGAGGAGCTGCTGCACAAAATAAGAAAACTCTCAGCACTGACACATACAGTAGTTTGAATGAACATGCATGAAGAGGAACTGAGCAGTTAGCATTTTGAATCCACACACACCTGCTGCTGCTGCAGCTGCAGCTGCAGCATTCCAGCCATGGGCTTTAAAGAAGTAGAGTTGTTCATAGTGTTGAAGCAAGGACATGTAGTACTTGCGCAGCACATAAGATGCATTCGTGGCAGTGGATGGGAAATTGAAAGTGGCAGTCACATCTTTCCATCTTTTTTCTCCAAGGATCTGTTAGCATATTGTTCACCAAAGAACATTACTGTAAGAAAACACTTAATCTGTGGCCTGCATGACAACCCTTTTAGCTATATCCATAATCAATCGGATACAGAGTTCAAATTTTGGGACAGCAACTATGAATTCAGACAATCAAAAGCCATGTATAGTTACCTTCTGAAGGCCACCACGTTGTGTCACCTCCACAAAAAGCCGATGCAAGTCCAATTCTCTTCCTCCTATTATAGGAATCCTACAGTAACCTCAATGGCGGTCAGAGATGAGCAACATATTCATTCACGTTACACAATGCGAATTAATACTCACATGAACTTGGTCCCCATAGTCGAATGGAACTTCTCCAAAGTAGCCATGAACAACTTCGGATTGTTCTTAACCTCCTCATATTCAGCCATAGCAGCTGGATACCGAATATAGGTGCTGACGACTGGAATCTGCTTGGCACAAGAGCTTGATGCCATAGCCACCTTCTCATGAATCTCACATTAGCTCTGCTTTCCCTGTCACAAATACAACCCACCACTGCAAGCCAAGAGGAAATTGCATCAGCCGCTATGTTGTACACATGCACCAAAGTGAACAACGACGGAGAGGGAAAAGAGACAACTCATGAAACTCTCCGGCGGCCGGAGACAAAACTCGGGTTGCCGCCGGCCTTGTTTTCGTCTTATGTTTCAAATTACATGCAATGGAAATTAAAAAAAAAAAAATGAATGGCGTAGAGGCGCAAAAGAAAGTGGGGGGTTTTGTCGAGAGAAACCGTTATCGGTCAGCAACTGTAGATATTAATTCCCAACGAAAGGAAAAGAGGACAACCCACCACCACCTAAGGTCCTTCTTATAAATGGTTCAATCTTCGGCTTCAAAGATTTTTTCTTTCCTTCCCCTTCTCTAATGGCGGACAAAACATATAAATTACACACAATAATATTTTTCAGAGATTAACTACCCATGAAAGATGAACATGGGAGGAGAAAAAAAAACTATAACAGAATGCATGTCAATATAATGTATTAATTATCGATGCTTTTTGTCTTATTTTTTGTACTGTGGGGGGTTATTATATTGAGAATCCCAGATGCAGAATTGAGGAAAAGCTGAGTTTATAAATATTATAAAGACTAAATCTTGGGTTCTTAATTGGAAGGGAAAATAATAGAAACTACAGAGACAAAAAAAAATATTATAAAAAGAGAAGATGATTTACCTGCAACATTGAGAGTCTAATTCACAAGGGCCTCATATTAATATCAGCAAAATGAACAGATTTGTATGGAAAATGGTTGGGAATAAATTATTTTCTTTTTCTGGATAATTTTTTTTTTTTTTTTTAAATTTGAGATGGTGATGTTAAGGGTGAACATTTAAGAAGCAATCCAAAATACAAGGAAATACTGATATGTACAATTTCATCCTCGTTAGCCCCTTTTTATGCGATCTTATGTGGTAAAGAATGAAGGGTAGTTTGGGTAGTCTGGCTGCTTGTGTTTTAGACGAGTGGCCCAAAACTTTAGGAGATAAACAATTAATAGTGTCGCATTCTCTATTCTATTTTATAAAAAAAATTGCATTCTGCAGAGGAAATAACGGAAAACCAAAAGATAGAAATTAAATACGTAAAATTATAATCTATTTAGAAGTAATCATTCAATTAGACTATTTTACCTTGACCGACTCTATTATAAAAATAGGATACTGAACAAATTCTTTATTTAGGTCATACCATGGTGACTGAAATTATTTGTTGGTGGTGTTGTCATTCAAGGAAAAAAAGAAATTGTTATTTCTCAAGTTGGCGAAGTGGCAAGTCCAAGTTTTCAGTCACTTATTCAGTGCTGGTTAATGGACATTGGTACCGCGTTTCAGGCTCTTTGAAAGGGCTTCGACAACTCTCGAAAAACACATCCTCTCTTTTAATTGGTGTATATCCATGCACAATTAGGGATCGTGTATTAAGCGTTTTATGATCGTGTTCATTCAATGATTACAGGGTGTCCAGTAAGCGATTCAACTTGTTCTCACCGATTTGGTTGTGAGGCTTTCCATTGTAATAAAATCTCTTTCGATAATTATAAAAAAAAAATATTTGGGTAGACTATAGACTATAGAGTAAAGAAAAAACTTTATTTTAATAAGAGATTTCACAATAAAAAGTTAAATTCATTTTTATTTACTTGAAAAGGGAACCCTTGCTGTCGGGCGTCGGCTGTCGCAACTCGCTAGTTTGGCAAAATCTGCCCGACACCCGTAGTATCCTTTCGGCGGGAGCCGGGAAGTCTCTTGTCTGCAAAACCGGTAAACTGGCGGGGCATTCAGTGGCGGGAAGGATATCTGATCCGAAAACTTTCCTTCCCTATCGCGAGAAAATGAGCAGTAGAAGATTAACAACACTGTTACAGCCGAGCACCACGAAGCCTAATAATCCCCCAAATGACGCAGCTACTCCCTTGAAGAAGCAAACCCTCGATCTGGGAAATGGAAGCGAAATCATATATTTCCCGCGATTCTTACCGGTGGATGATACATGGGAGTTGTTCGATTATCTCGACACTCGGATCCCTTGGACCCGACCCACTGTCAGAGTCTTCGGTCGCTCCTGCCTCCAGGTAGGTCCCTTTACCCTCAGTATATAATCAATTCTCTTCGATCATCTCTATCACTCAAAGTTGCTTGCTTGCTTTTCTTGATGGGTTTTGTTGGGATTCTTCGAAATCCGTTCGAATTTTGGAAGGGGGAAATTTGGAATCTCTTCCACTCATTTGGTAGATAATGGTGGAATCCAAAGTCATATGGCAGCAACATTCCAAAAAGTGTCTCCAAACTGTGAAGTAAACTTGTTGAGGAATTACTTCTTACTTGGGGATTGGGAGAAGAACACCTTGAATTTTTTGTAAGTTGAGGAACAGAATGGTGGGATTTGGCTAGTTGTAATGCCATAAGATCTGTAATTTCTTGCTGGTTCCTTAAGCTATGAACACGTTATAATCTGCTTCTTACCCCACTGGAATTTCTCTTTGCACTTTGCAGCCTAGGGAGACATGTTATGTTGCGAGTCCAGGACTGCCACAACTGTCCTACAGTGGGTATAAACCACAGCCCTATTCTTGGGACGACTACCCTCCTCTCAAGGACATCTTGGAAGCTGTGAGTAAAAGACTCTTCCTCGTTCCTCCCACGTTGCATTAGTTAGCATTGTGTCCATTGCTTCACAAAAACTCTCTATTTTGTTTCAAATCTATTAACTTCCACAAAGGTCCACAAGGCACTTCCAGGCAGCAAGTTCAATAGCTTGCTCTTGAATAAGTACAAAGGTGGGAATGATAATGTTGGATGGCATGCTGATGACGAGAAGCTCTATGGACCAACTCCAGAAATCGCCTCGGTTTCATTTGGGTGTGAAAGGGAGTTCTTACTGAAGAAGAGACCCAGTAAACCCTACTCCAAAGGTAACTGCGGCTAGTAACATAGTTCCATGTTCTTCCATATGTCTGTTTCGTGGTTGCGGATAAAAGCTACTGTCTTCCATTAATAGTTTACAGAAAATCCGAAGATGAGGAGCCTGCTAAGAAGCGAATGAAGAAGAGCGATCAACATTCATTCATGCTGAAGCATGGATCGCTGCTGGTGATGAGAGGTTATACTCAAAGGGATTGGCTTCACTCTGTGCCTAAGCGCGCCAAAATAGAGGCGACACGAATCAACTTGACCTTCAGGCTAGTCCTCTAAACAACCCTGGTGCACAATGCATCATGTGATCAACAAGAAGGCTTGCTGAACTTGTTCCTTCAGAATGAAGTATCTGATTCTGATGTGTGTTACAGTTTTTCTGCCTATGTTTGATGGCCATGATCAAACCCTAGTTGAGGATCAATTGTGCACCAAAAACTAACAGAACCCTTGTTCCTATTCTTTTCCTTTTGGCGTATGGTGTGCGGATTTCATTGGACCGGAGTCGTCGCCTCAATCTATTCAATGATTGGAGAGAGCTGGCATGCTGCTGAAATGGAGACACTCGGCAATGAACCAAAGCATTGTGGAATGTGCTAAGACGATCATATGCTTGAAATGAGTTGTCGATGATATGAATATATGTGAATCAAGGAACTTACCATATAGAGGTATGAGTTGCTATATGTGCAAAGTTAGGCTTTCAAAATTAAAATGTTATGAAGTGGGGATGTAATCTAGTAGTATACTACTGAGTTTTGTGGTGTGTTGTGGATTTTTTTAAATAAAATATTATTTATTTTAAAAGAACATAATAACGATTTTGTAAATAAAATATTATCGTGTACGCAACACTTAATGCGACTACTCTCAAGCAATGCTGCAAATGAGCCAAACTGCTCATAAGCGGCTCGACTCGGAAAAAACTCGTTCGTAACTTGGCTCATTAGTAAACGAGTCTAGCCTGAGTTCATCCTTGTTCGGCTCATGAGGCTCGCGGGCTAGCTCGATTCAGTGACTTGTTGAGTGCAACCAATGAGTTGGCTCGATAGTATGGTTAGTGAGCCAATTCGACTGGCGACTTATGAGCGAATCAATATATATAGCTTATGATGTAGCTTCTAATAATAAATACGTTTGTTATATTATATATCCATAATATATTATGGTTTAAGACTTGAGTATGTGACCAAATATGTCACATTTTTAATTCAAAAAAGAGAATTATGTATTATAGAATGCTCAATTACTAACTATTATTAAATAACATAATAGTAATTATTTAAAAATTATGAACTAAATTATATTATACCAGTATATAAATATGAGATGAATTAGTGATGAAAATGACTATTATTCTCTTTTTTTTTACTAACCACATATATCATATATGACATACAAATATTACAGGAGTCAAGTTATACATTATTTTAGAGTTTCATTTAAGGGTTCAACCAATTAGACTTATAAATGAGTTGTGCTCGTGAGTTGATTGATGAGCCGAACTCAAGTATAGCTCTTGAGTTCCTTAATGAGCCTAGCTCAAGCTCGACTTGTTTCTTAATGAGCCAAGTTCAAAATTAGACAAAACTCGACCAAATAAGAAACAAAAACGAGGTTAACCTTAGTAAAACTCAACTCGACTCATTTGTAGGCGGGTGCAACCGTACTCTCAAATCTCAACCTATGATCACGTTCTCGCCCCTGAAATCCACTAATAGGGTAGCCCACTGACTCTTTAGCACACCACTTCCTAGGGGTGAAACAATTGTCTGGCTTCAGTGGAAACTGGAAACCTTTAGCAAATTAATCCACTTGTTGTAGTAGCTGAGGGCCTTTTGGGCCAGTCTTATTAATTAATGAATACAAGTTTTTTTTTTTTAAAGGTAATTAATTAATACAAGTTGGATAGCAGATTCTTGTAAAAAAAAAAAAAAAAAAAGAGAACAGGGGATAAAATGAAATAAGATGGATGCCTTGAAGCATTCTTAATCCTACCTTTACCCTCTACCCTAGCAAACAGCTGCACTGTCAAGCCCTTCTCCTAAAATTCGCTGCGCATTGGAACAGGAGGAAAGGTACACAGAATCCACGCTAACACAAGTTCCGCACTGTGCTGGGAACTTAGCGGCGGCGAGCGAGCTTTAACCGAGAAGACTTCAATGGGCGATCACCCGACGGCCGGTGACCGGGAAGTCCCCAAGCTCCCCGTGCCCGGCAAGCGAAACATACTCATCACCAGCGCCTTGCCATATGTCAACAACGTACCTCATCTCGGCAACATCATCGGATGTAATTCGCTTTCCCCTCTCTCCCTCAGCGGCTCTAATTCCATTTCATCAGTAAACGGATTCATCTGTTCGTTGCCCTTACTAATTGCGATTTCAAAGCTAGGAGTTAGCACATGCAATGAATTTTTGCTACTCTTGAGATTTATGTGTTTGCTCGCCAGTTGATACTCCGTTTGGTTTGCCTGAAATGCTATTTCTGCTCCTCGCAGGTGTGTTGAGTGCGGATGTGTTTGCTCGCTACTGCCGGCTGCGAGGCTACAATGCTATCTACATCTGTGGAACTGATGAGTATGGAACTGCCACCGAAACGAAGGCCTTGGAGGAGAAATGTTCCCCTAAAGAGATTTGTGACAAGTATGGAATCCAAGTGCAGTGGCTTACTGCATGTTAATCCTTCGGTTATGTTTTTGCCTAGCTCATGCACTGGCTTTTACTCTTTTCAGGTACCATGCCATTCATCGGGAGGTTTACAAATGGTTTAATATAAGTTTCGACGAATTTGGGCGAACCTCGGCACCGCAGCAGACTGAAGTCTGTCATTCCATTTTCAAGAAGCTGCTAGAGAACAACTGGCTTTCTGAGAACACGATGCAGCAGGTAGTTAGATAGATAATGGATTTCAAGTTTCATGCTTGGCTGGAAACTGTATCCATGCTACCTTTGCTGATTATTCTGTTTTTTACATTGAGTTCAGCTGTACTGTGATACGTGTACAAAGTTCTTGGCCGATCGCCTTGTTGAGGGTACGTGTCCAACACCTGGTTGTAATTATGACTCTGCAAGAGGAGATCAATGTGAAAAGTGTGGAAAACTTCTGAATCCAACCGAGCTGATGGATCCTAAGTGCAAGGTAAGATATGGCACAACTTTTTTGTGGAGTTAGTCTGTTGAAGTGTCCTCTCTTTAGATACTTGCTTGATTTGTGTGTCAGTGAAGGACTATTCTTTTGGTTAGTTGAGTGAAGAACTTTGATAGAATTTTTTGGAAGACGTGGTAGCTGAGCTGTAATGAGAACTGTTGATCTGCAAATGATACTGTTATGTTCCTAATATTTTTATGATCTTTTATATCTGGAAATAATATATATATATATCCATAGACGTTTTCCTTCAGCATCTTAATTTTCTAAAACTGCCACTTTCGATGTCAGCGATTCATATTTTGTGTACTACATGCTTTCTCATATTTGAACAGGTCTGTCGTAATACCCCACGTATTCGCGACACGGACCACTTGTTTCTTGAGCTTCCCTTGCTTAAGGATCAACTCGTGGAATATATTGAGCGCATGTCCGTAGCGGGATCTTGGAGCCAGAATGCCATCCAAGCTACTAATGCATGGCTTAGAGAAGGGCTCAAATCACGTTGTATTACAAGGGATTTGAAGTGGGGGGTTCCTGTTCCCCATGAGAAGTACAAGGACAAGGTCAGGAGTCATGTTCCTAACTTCTTTTCGCTTTTTTTTTCTTATATCACAAGATACATTTTAGCTCGTAGTCTAATCGGAGTTAAATTATTCATATTTACTTCGACCTTCATTTTGGAAGCACATTTGCTACATCTACATTTCATGAGCTTGACAACCTTGTGTCGTGCATCTGCCAGGTTTTCTACGTCTGGTTCGATGCTCCTATCGGATATGTTTCAATCACAGCTAGCTACACTCCTGACTGGGAGAAGTGGTGGAAGAATCCTAATAATGTTGAGTTGTATCAGTTCATGGGAAAAGATAATGTCCCCTTCCACACGGTATGTCCACCTTTTTTTTTATATTATTATTATTATTATTATTATTATTATTATCATCATCATCATCATCATCTCTAGATAAGAGCAATGTAGTTAAACTATAGTTTTTATCTATAAGCATTCAAGTCTCGTCACCTTCATCACCACCATCGTCATAGTTGTCACTATCACTAACATCATGTTTCTCAAAACTACCTCCATCATCATCCATGGAAAAAGAAATGATTTCAACTCCAACATGATCATTTTATTTTTCTTACCCGAAAACCACCAACTGCCCAACTTGCTCTCTAAACCCGACCATTAAAAGCTCTTAAAAGCATGCTAAAAGCTAGCTTTTAACTATTTTAATGTGCTTATAGAGGTTTTAAAGAGCTTATATTAAGCTTATAATGTTAAAAGGGTTTTCAAATAAAAATACTATATTTGGGGAGGCAAGAACTTAAAAGCATAAGCCTTCATGCTTACACTAACCATAGCTTTCAACTACATCGGATAAGAGAATGTAATTTTTAGGTTAGAAAATACATGCACTTTACTTTTCTTGATGCTAATTAAGAATGTAGGGAATAAGTAATTAGTGAGAACCCTGACCTTGGGTGGATCTTGGTTTCATGCAAGTTAGTACCTTAACAGGACGCTTCGCTTCCAAGAGAGGGGGTGAGGATCTTGGTTGTAAACTGTCTGGTGTTAGAAAAGCAGACAAGTAGATGTAGTCCATGTGGATACTTTGCATATTGCTATGTGATCTTCAGCACTCCATTAGAATTCTAGCAAATACAAATTGGAAAACTTATAGCTGATCTGGGAAAAGCTTGCACTCGTCATTCACACAGTTTGTCTTCTGTTGATGGAATGAAATTGTCCTCCTCAAGATGTTCTCTTATTTCAGGTTATGTTTCCTTCTTCACTTATTGGAACTGGTGAAAGTTGGACCATGATGAAGACCATAAGTGTGACAGAATACTTAAATTATGAAGCAGGTTGGTCAAGTGACAGTAGAATAAGTTTGTCATAATATTCGGTTCTAATCGCCATTATCATTTCTTCACAGTTGTATGAGATCTCACTGAATGATTGGTGGATGGTTTCTACAGGGAAGTTCTCCAAAAGTAAAGGGATAGGCGTTTTTGGTACTGACGCAAAAGATACTAACATCCCTGTTGAAGTGTATCGATATTATCTACTGACTAACCGTCCAGAGGTAACTTCAGTTTCATTTTCCTATTCCTGTACTGTTTTGTTATCAAATATTATAAATCTTGACCCAGCAGTTCATGTGAATAGGTATCTGATACACTATTTACATGGGCTGATTTGCAAGCCAAACTTAACAGCGAGTTACTCAACAATTTGGGGAACTTCGTCAATAGAGTCTTGAGTTTTATTGCTAAACCTGAAGGTAAATTAGCTGCTCCCAAATCCTTGGCTTTTAGCTAGACTAGATTGGATGTTTGCATATCTTCTTATAAAGTCGCATTGAAATTGGCAGACTAAGGCTGCATTCTTCTGTTCCAACCATTGTTGCATTTGTTCTTAGTTTTTTATTGCATTACCACATCTTTCCATTGATTGGGAATAATCACTAGTTCAGGAACTGGGGGTGATTCTCCTTCCCTTTTCATGCCCTATTTCTGAAAGCTCTTTTATGTTCCTTCAGCACTCTGATATTCCTGTTTTGGGTATCTGTATGGTCTGATGAGATGTCATTGACTGTACAATTTTCCTTTTAGGATTTCCATTACCCATGAAAACTCAAAATGTTTACTAGTTTTCCTATTGCCTTAACATAAAACCGACGAACATTGTTCTGATGGGTTGTAGAAACTGAAAAACAGAAATTTACCAACAAGCCGTGTAGCTTAGTGATTACCACAGCAACACCAGTTGCCCATGCTATGTTTTGTCGGTTTGCTACTAATTGAAGTTCTCCAGCATTTTGTGTTATCGTATCATTTGTGCTTATCCTCTTGACTATATTCCGTTGCCAATATTGTGGACCAGGTGATGGTTATGGCTCCATTATTCCAGATGCTTCAGGTGCAGATTCTCATCCATTGACAAAGAAACTTGCTGAAGAAGTTGGCAGACACGTAGACCAATATCTAGAAGCCATGGAAAAGGTGTGAATTTTCGCAACTATTTCCTACATTGAGCAATAATTATTTCTGACATTCTAATTCCATAGGTCAAACTAAAGCAAGGACTTAAAATTGCCATGAGCATTTCAAGTGAAGGAAACGCTTATCTTCAAGTAAGTTTTGAATGTTTAGTATCTCGATAGTATGTGATGCATCTCCTTATTGTTTTGGTATTAGGTTGGATATGATGTACTAATACTCAATACATGTCAATGTAGGAAAGTCAATTCTGGAAGCTTTACAAGGAAGACAAACCTTCCTGTTCCATAGTGATACGGACCTCCGTTGGACTAGTATATCTTCTTGCATGTTTGTTGGAACCCTATATGCCATCTTTCTCTGCTGAGGTAAATGAACTGTCTTGAAGATGGATGCTTTAAGTTATTGAATGACTTATTTCAATCCAATAAGTTTTGATCTGACTGCCTTGCTGATATTTTCTTCATGCATCATTGTACAAGGTCTTCAAGCAGCTTAATTTGCCTTTCGAACAAGCTTCACTTTCTGATGAAAAAGGAGATATTGAGAAGGCAAAAAGACCATGGGAGATAATTCCTCCTGGTCATAAAATTGGGACACCAGCGCCTTTGTTTAAGGAACTGGTAAGAACTCTATTGCTTAGGCACACTTGTTTAAGTTTGTTGGCAAAGGTCATGTGCCAGTGAGTGTGTCATTATTAGGTTGATAGTGTGAATAAGGATTAGCGGTTGACTTATTCGCTCATCTTTTTTTCAAAACGTTTGCAGTTTACATTCATTTTCCACTTTTCGAATTTTACCTTCTTCATTTTTCCTTTCCAGAAAGATGAAGAGGTGGAGTTCTACAGTAGCAAATTTGCTGGCAGTCAGGCTGACAGGTTAGAGAGGGCAGAGGCTGAAGCTGTAAAGGTTGCTGCTCAACTGAAGAAGTCAAAAATTTCAGGTTAGCTGCAATTGCTACACATGCAAGAGGGATCCAAATTAATAGGTGACTTATACATCTCTTTCATTTGGTATAGATGGCGGGAAAAAGCAACAAAGTAAAAAGCCTGCTGGAGATGGTAAGTCAAAGGGAACAGTTGAGCCAGAAATCACCATCACAAGGCTGGATATTCGTGTCGGCTTGATCAAGAAAGCACAGAAGCATCCTGATGCCGACTCCCTCTATGTGGAAGAAATTGACGTAGGCGAAGCAGAACCTAGAACAGTTGTCAGTGGACTCGTCAATTACATACCTCTTGAAGATATGCAGGTACTTAAAAATCATAAATCTACACACGACTATTACTGCCTGAGTTGCATAAATTTTTTTTTTTTTTTTTTGTATGTGGTGTTTTACCTTGCTGACAGAATCGCAAGGTGTGTGTTCTCTGCAACCTGAAGCCCGCCTCCATGAGGGGAATCAAGTCACAAGCAATGGTTCTTGCCGCTTCCAACGGCGACCACACCAAGGTTGGCACTCATTTGCTTCTTTCTCGTAGTGTCTGATGCAGCCCATAATAACAACCACCATGCAAATCCTGGTTAAACTGAGTCATGAAATTTACGATGCAGGTTGAATTGGTTGAACCACCCGAATCTGCTGCCGTCGGTGAGAGAGTCAAGTTTGGGGGTCTCGAAGGGGAGCCTGATGGTGTGCTAAACCCAAAGAAGAAAGTATGGGAGACACTGCAGGTGGACTTCCAAACCAACGGTGAATTGGTAGCTTGCTTCAAAGACATCCCATTCACAACATCCGCCGGGGTGTGCAAGGTTGCATCCATTAGTAATGGTACCATAAGGTAGAAAGTGTAGAGGTCACCTTTAAATTTCAGCATTGATTGCAGTTTGCAGTCGAGGAAAGTGGTAGTCTCCAGTTTTGCACTCTATTGCACTCTTTCCTCCACAGAGAATTGCACACAAACATAACAGTAAGCAAGTGTGAAAGGAACATATTTGTGTTATTGTAGTTTGCAATGAATCCCTGATGAGAATTTGGAATAGTACGAAAGTGCCAATCGAGAAAGGGGCGCAGGAGCTTGAGAGTGCTTTCACTTCTTTCTCAAATTCTGAATAAGCGTCTTGCTAGATGAACTAGTTTGCATCCCCAGGAAGAGCATCCAAGATATGTTTTCGTATACAAAATATTTCGGAGAAACAAACTTTTTTATTTGCTAGAATATAAGTTACATCATATTCACTATTTTATTGTCATTTCTATAACACGAAAATATTTCTTCCCTTCTAATCGAGGATGCTCAAGCTACCATACATAGAAACAAAGAAAACTACATTCAAGAAAATAGTGACACCATCACATTCAAGAACAAAGAACTTGCGTTTCAACACATTCTGACCCGTGGGAGTATACAATGACAACTTCTGAACACTCATTGCCGATTTCGAGACTGCATGTTGAACATCTGGTGGCACGTTGCTCCGGTCTGAGCCATGTAACAACGAGATCCCCTTGATCCTTGCCGGGTGTGCACCCAGAGGTTTGAGTGAGTCTCCCTTTGTAGAAGCCAAGCAACCACAGTGAACAATGGACCATTTCAGTTCATAAGATGTGCGGGAAAAGTCCCACCTAAGGCTATTGGGTTGGCACTTGGCATCACAACAAGCAACTGGAGATTTCGTTGCTGGCATTGTTTCACCGGATTCCTGAACAAACGAACCTCTGCAGTGTGATTCCTCACATGAACAATGGTATAAGCATCACCTTTCTCAACAGCAAATTGCCATTCAAATGCTGATATGTAAAACCAGTCTTTATGCGCAGACTGTGTGGCTTTCACTTCAAAATATTGTCCACCGTGCTCCTCACCGACAGTTAGTATATCATAGGGTAACCTGGTCTCGCTATGTTCATTGACCCACCTCACAGCTTCTTCCCCGTATATGCCTTTCAAGTATCTGAAAGCAAGTTCCTCACCCAATCTCCCGCTCGCTGCTGCACGCTCATCATCACCGCCTGCAGTTATATTAAACTTCTCTCTCTGGGGAAATCCAAGTGACATCAATGCCTCAGGGCGATTAGGCATGATGTTAAAGCTTGTAGGATAAACTGTCCCATATACAGAACAGGTTTGTTCTCGGGCAATGTCAATATGATTGTCCGTCGGTTTGCAGCCAGGGTAAGTCAATGTTCCAGGATCCTCATTATTTACACCTTCCATCTGTGTCGTGCCATTATCAAGCGGCTCCTTTCCTAAACCATTAGATGTAGACGCGTGAATTTCAAAGTCATGAGGATGGAAACGAGGTGCAGTTTTCCAACCTGTAGGAGGCCAGTTCAATCTGAATCCATGTTCCATCTGGTACTTCGATGATTTTGATCCAGTTTCTATTGCTGAAACCTCACCCGGTACCAAGCATTTTTCCCCACCATCCATTGACGTAGAAACAATATCCGTTGTCAGGGATTCACAGCTTCCTATTGAAGCAGGAGCCGAGGATAGTGACCAGGGAACTTCTTCATCAGGCAGCTTAGGTATCTTCTGGCTGTTCATGATGAAAAACTCTGTTTGTTCCTTTGTAGATCCAGATTCAGCCATGGTAACGACCATGTGAAGAAAATTTGCCAGGTGTAGATCTGGAGTTCCATTGAAGAATAAACGAGAAAGCTCAAGGAATAATTCATGCGGATCTGTTGCCGCTGTGGAGTACAGGGTTTCATCCTGAAAACAGAAACGTAGGATAAGTGAACAAAGCTTCTTGCCTAACAGATCAAATGGACGAGACTTTTCTCTCCTCTCACATCATACCAGGCCCTCTGGCACCTGCTTGGGCAGTGGGAAAAGGTTTCATACCTGTAGAAGACAACTGCACTCATATCGGCTCCGAGATGATTTGCCACTACTTCTTATGACATTTCTGTAAGATAGCTTCTCAACCACAACAATTTGTAGCTTCTTTACAGTTTCAAAGCCATTTTGCTTGAGGTGGGCATATTTCGTGGCGTGGCTGCTATGCATGTAGCGCTGAGCATAAGGAAGGGCCCAATCAACCAGTGAAGCTTTGAAGTTAGAGTCTGATGGACCGAAGTATATTGCCTCGCGAGTTACAACCTGCAGTGGAAGAGCATTAGTGAAGCAGCTAATAGTATCACTGGCACAGATAATCGAGTAGTATCCAAATATAACACCCTTGAACAAAAAACTGATCATTCGAAATGATTTTGAGGATTATGTTTCAACCCGTCTTCCAGAACAAAGACAAAACAGACTCGCCAATGCAAACAAGAACTTCAGGATGCCAAATACTGAAACTTCTAAAAACTACCTAGCCTGCATATGGTGACTGTGACATTATAAACTCTTTTATACTTCATAGACCAGACATTTAAGAATCAAGCCATCTGATCAGTGTGTACACATCAGTTGAGAAACATGAAAGAGTTGACAACACAGCTCCGAAAAGGAACCAGCTCAGGGCCATTCCAGAATCAGCCATTTGAAACGTGGCACAGGACACATGCTAGAAGTATTTTCTTGTCAAATTTGTCCTGCATGGCTTAGTTCTGTTTAGTTCATTTTCACAAACACTGGGAAGGAGTTGCAACATGTATATTTCTAAATGGCATGACCAAATGGACAAAGGCAATGCAAACTCCTTTACATCTCTTCCCACATATCAGCTTGCCAGTAACATACAATGTCAGCACAGATAGAAAATAAGCACGAGTATCAAATACAACCTTAATTAAACTTTATCAAGCGAAAGGAAGAGAAAGCAGTACAATTCACCTCTGAGAGAGCACGTATCCCCAATTCTTTAAAGAGTTGAGAGACTTGATCACGAAGTATCTCCTGGTCGTTGTCCTTCAGAGTATCAAAGTACAAGAAATTGATATTGTCCAGATGTTGGAAGTCTCTGCTTAGCTCTGTATTATCACACCAGCACACAAGACCAAAAGAAGGATGCAGGGACATCCACTTATCCGGTGCAGTAGGAAGTATAGCATATTCAAGTTTCGCGAGACATTCTTTCAAGTGATTCAGATCCTCAGAGCTTAATAAACCAGATTTCAATTCACTGTTCCACTTCGAGAATACTTTAAAAACCTGTACGAGAAATAAAGATTAACCTGCAGCACAGTAAATATATGCTTGTCTCTAATGGTTTTTGGGAAGGTCACTTACTGCACTAGCAACTTCAGAAGGTGGGGCAAGAGTTGATAATTGCCTCAAGATATCAAGATAGCCACGCAGAGAAGGGCTTTCACATACACTACTGTGGCTGACAAAAAATTCATGAAGGCCTGGATAAACATTACATAGCGCCTTATTCAATGGATCATGAGTCAGCAACGTTGAGCTCCGTTGATGGTGGAGCATCATTTCGTGAAAAGAGCCTGTTGGATCATCCCAATAAACGTCTTCAGGACGTAAAAAGGCACCTGACACCAGATTGCCATTCCTTAATGCAGTTTTGGAGGGAACAAAAATAAAGGGCTCAGAGCCAAATGCCTCTTGAATATTCTTCTTAGAGATGACCAATTCTTCAGAGAGAAATTCGTAGAACCGGGACATTTGTGCTATGCTGAAACAGGAAGACAAGAAAACAGGGGGAGAGAAACAGTCAAAAACCAATGTTATTGTGTACAACCCATGTCTACAACACATTGGATTAGTTTCTTGTCCACGAAACAAGGCTTTGCAGCTGGACAAGAGGAATTACTCTCAATGCATTCAGAGTCTGGACGCAGAAAAAGAATGTGCTGATCGCTAATTAGATGGTAAATTTTTTAAGAAAACAACTCATCAATCTTCAAAACCTCGATGCTAAGCAAATTCCATTTCGTCATCCACACATGAACTATACCATTGAAAGGTTCACACAAAGCTTGCTTAATATGATTCATCATTCAGAAGCAAGAACCATAAGTGAGGTGACAGAGTTATACTAGAGTAACTACCTGGCCTTGAAAGGGGTATTTAGTCTTCTCCATACTGCTACAGCTTCCAATGCATCATCCAGAGCGACTTTGGTCTTAAAGCCAATATCTGCCAGTAACTTACTACTTTTTACCTGTTTCAGCGAACATATCAAAACAATATCTCAGAAACTGTAGCTGTCACAACTTCCACATAAAAAATCTATGAAAACTCAATATGTTGACACTAATATGTTATGTACATAATGTAAGAAATAAGCCCCAAAGGATGTAATAATCCCATGATGCTTAACCAAACCAACTTATTTTGCACAGCTCAAGTCATAACCTCAATGCCACAGCCTAATGAGAGTGACATTGAGCAAAAATAAATGTAGAAACCTTCTCTACATATGAGTGAGTCATGTGCTACCATATTCAATCTAACCTTTGGAATAGCATAAGGCGCAAATGGGCCCAAAATTGACCGTACGGCGTCACAATCACAGAAGATGTCCTTAGGGTAGTGACGCTCATTATCCATGCTCGAGATAACCCACCGAGCATCATGGAGGGTGCTTATAAAGGAAGACTTGAAAGATCTAGAATCATCACCAGGTTTACCATTGCAGTAACCAATTACTTTATCACTGAAGCTATCATCCCATAGTTTATCAAGAACCTCTAGGAGATATTCACAGCACTGTGCATCACCATTGGTTGAGGAAAGAAACAGTAGCTGCACCAGTTCCTTTGATTCCCAATCTTTGGCAATAGACTCTGGAGAAATCAGCTTCATATCCCACATCAATGCTTTATTTGTTGCACAAGATAAATCAGCAAATTTCCTTTCTGTTTGACTAACTTGAACAAAGTCTGTAATCCCAACCTCCATGAGAAACTCCCTCCATTTTGTAAGCGCATCAGAAAGTGACCCATTTGAAGGATGCGTCAAATAGGCAACATCAACTTCATGCCATTCCATCCCCAGAACATTAATAAATTTCGTTCCATCAATAGGATTTCCAAACTCACTACTAAAATGAATTGGGTTGTCACCTGGCCGTTTATATCCATTATTTGTCAGAAGATACGCCTTACCCCTCAAATCAGACATAATTGACTTCCTTTCACCATGACATATATGGCAGTTTGATTGCATGTGGATCATCACAAAACAAAGATAGTCTATCATTGAGTGTCTGTCCCTACTTAAATCAGACATAGCATTTATAATATGCACCTTCACGATTTCATGGGCAGACAAAGGTTGGACGCCAAGTTTTTGAAGCATTCTCACAACATTTTGTGAAGAAGCTCCATCAGCAGCTGATGCTGAAAGGACGACAGGATTTACAATCCGAAGCTCAGCATACAACTTTGGAAAAGCCTCAAACCCATTGCCTGCACTCAAAACATCAGAATGCAACCATATAGTGCCTGTGTCACTGCAGCTGTATGTACCATCTGACAGAGGAATAAACGGAAGAGTCCGAAGGCTGTCCAAAAGACCAGCTCCCGCAAAAGAATTTGGTAACATTTGATAGAGAGCATCTACCAGTAAGGAGAACCACCCCAAGCCCATGGACTGCAGTCCATTTCCTGTGCGGCATAAGCACGTCAGGAATCTAATCAGAAGTTCAGGTCCATATTCGATAATACCCAAAGAACTTGCCATCGAGTCAGATAATTCTATGTTCTGGTCTAAGAATCCAAGGCCAAGGTGCTCTTGCAGCAAAACCTCGGGTAGAAGAATGCGAGCTTCTTCACTCCAACCTCTGAGAACCTTGCCAGGCAAAACCATCTTCGACTTGTCTCCCTCAAGGAACAGGCAGGGTGTCCTCCTTAACTCCAGAGCTATTGCCCTAGGGAGCCCTGAAAAGAACCCATGCACCTCTCCAACAAGTGGAACAAAACCCATATAAGCAGTCACAGCTTTGCCTGGTTTCTCCCTAAAACAAGAGAGGGAACAAAATGATTTCTCTGCAGAGACAAATAATGCAGGGAAGCTTGCCAATAACCACTCGTTCCAAGGATTGTTCCTATCCACTTCCTCTCTAGACGAAGTGAGAATAAAATCACCTTGGAGAATAAATTTCAGTCCATAACCTCTTAAGGGGAGAAAAGCAAAAACTGGCTGTTGATCCAAACAAGGGGTATAGTCCCTATTGCCCGACTCTTTGAGAGTAAATGCTACAGAAATTTGAGTTGCGTGTACTTTAGGTCGGCTGGAATGAGCCTGCAGCTTCTGAGATGCTACGAGCCAGGTCATTTTATCTCCTCCCCATGTAACATTTACTATACCATCTCCTACGATTTCTTTTCTCATAATGACAAGTGAGTCGTTGAGCATGTTACGGAATGTGATGCACTGGAGGCGGTGAAGAAAAAGTAGTAAGGAAGGATGAAGATCCAAAAACATTCTCATAGTGGTTTCTTCAGATACTTTTGACCGAAACGGAAGCATGATACAAGTGTTCCAGCGTTCACTGTCTCCAGAAACTAGCCTGCTATAGAAATCAACATTGCAAGGAGGCACGATTGTAGGTAAAACAAAGCCTATTTGTCCACCACTTATATCAAATTTAACATGGAAACCATTGGAATGGATCTCAGGCGCATCTGTAACCTTCAAAAGAATTAAGCAACAATAATTCTTCTGTAAAATGTGAATCTGGCATAAGAAAATGTTGATGTTGACAAAAAAAAAAAAAAAAAAACAGGCCTAGTGGAAATTTTCAGAAGCACCTTCGAACAAGAAAAGGAAGTAGTGACGGTCATAACATATGTACTAATCTAAGATGAAATTGCCAGTAAGACGTTAAGAAAGAAAGGCATTTATTCCAGTTTCTGATGCTGCTGCGGGGTAAAGAGTGGAGTGTAAGTTACCAACAGAGGTATCATGTGCGACTTCAATGTAGATAGAGAGGTAAAAAGAACCAAGTCTCTCCAACATGGCACTTAAATGTTGAACTTTATCGTGGCACTGCTTTCATAGCTCAAGCAAATTAGACACTCAGCTTCCACAACAAAACAAGCAACTATTATTAAACATTCATTTTTTACTATGCTATTTAAGAATCATATTTTCTTGAACAAGCCAAGGGAAAGAGTGTAATAATGAGAAATATATAACTACTTCAGTACGTTCTTCTTCCTCTTCTTCTTCATATTCTTATTCTTATTATTATTAATATTATTATTATTAATTTTTTTTTTTTTGGCATAAGAGATGGTTTGTTCTTTATATTCACACCACTAACAAAGAGAACAAACAAATTACAATGAAATAAAAGATTAAGAGCAATATGCTCTTCAATATTTTAGAATCTTCAAACAAATATATACACGTATAAATAATAAAATATATATCAGAATATGTACCAGCAGCATATTGATAGGTAGAACCATATTGACAAATTTTATATATCTCACCAGATTAACTCTGTTCAAGAGGTTAATCAGAACTTATATTTGACATTCTAATGAGATTGGAAGCAGAGACAAGCAGATCAAGAGAAGGATTTGATAAACCTACCCGAAAGACTGACTTGAAGCCAATCCCCTTTTGCCCTATGTAGCCAGCACCAGATACTTTCTTGGTTGAATTACCGACATCACATAGGGCTCTGATGTTTTGAGCAGAAAAGCCACACTCATTGTTCAAGACAACAATACCCGATTCCTGAAGGATGAACACAAGGGTTGGTTCCATGTTGTCAGGGTAAGTATTATCGTCAGCATTTTGAACCTGAAGAGACAGTGTTGATTAGGTTAAGATCTCAATCCAAACAAGAAAACCCAGTTTTAAGATCACATACACTATAAAAATGCCTCACACAACATTACTCTCTCAAGAGAAGGAATGTTATTACAGGATAAGACAGCGACTAAGAACATACAGATAAATAATGACGATGAAAAATATCTAACCCATCCCAGATTCAAAATTATGCCCATCTATAGAAGCGAAAATAAACAATTTACAGAAGAAAAAAAAACAAGCAGCGAACAGTAATAACCATGAGACAACAGTATAAATAATAGACATACTTCATATTCATTATCCAAGTATACGAGATTCCACCTGCGCTTCTATTCCTTATCTTTTAATACAACTTTTAAACTCTCCCTTTATTCTTGTTTTCCTGTGGTGTAGAATGGAAGCCTCGTCCCACATTATCCAAATAATGACAGCATCTAGTGGATGGGCACCAAATAATAACAGGACGAGAAAAAGTACAGCCAAGAGATGGAAACCTACTCTTTACCAGTAACACCGTCACATGAAAAATCAGGATAGTAGTTAGTAGACTAACCAGCTCAAGAAGAAAATGGGAGTCTTGGGAATACAGTTCCTGTGATAGGCAGTGAAGTGCTCTTCCTAAGCGAGCATGCTGTTTTCTCAACATGTCACTCTCTATAATTGAAAGATTTGGATCTAGACCGAATTCATCTCTCCTAATACAGTCAATAACAGATGCAGCATCTTTCTCCTTATCATCATTATCTAGTGCGGACCAACCTGTGTGACTAGAGACCACTGCATCACCAACAGCAAGACTGCCATCAGTAACTCCCTTACCACATGAGAAATCCTCAGAAGAAGCAAGTGGTCTTTCATCATTTTCATCTTGGTTGTGCTTATGTACTGTCCTCAGCTCAGGCATGGCAACGTCCATGCATAATAGTCCAGAGAATTTAAATATGAACATTTCGGCCAACGAGCCGGTTATAAGCTAGTATTATTAAAGGTGAAAGTCAAAATCCATTCCTCCATTTCAAATTTCCTGCATCGAGAGTGAAAGTAGGAAGGACATTTTTGTCTCAACTACTTATTTCTTTCTTATTTATTCATAAGAAATATATACATATGGGAATTTGAACAATGACCACTTTTAAGAGAAGAAAGGGCTACAACCAATCACGCTACATATATTTGTTGTCTCTTTTAAAAGAAAAACATACACAAACCTAAAATCTAAAAAATCAGAAGACCTTTTTAGTGGTTAGCTAGCAACTAAATCTCTCATAAGTACTTATTTGGTGATTTGATACTTCGACTTTCATATTTTTTATTATTTTAATTGTATTTTAATACTTAATTTATATTTCAATGTATATTATAAACAGATGATAACTTTAAAATTGCAACCCATATATCACTTGGTTGGATATTGTATCCGAAATTAGAGTATTAAATAGGTCAAAGCAATGTCAAAATTTTAAATTAGTATTAATTTTTAGAATTAACTATGAAGAAATCATATCCATATGCAGACTATATGGGACTAGTTTTTTTTAACGTTTTAGCCGGGTTAACTGCTAAGCTTTCAACATGTTCCTAATCTGGCATGATTAGATCCAATGATCATTGTACAAGATTGAGCTTAATTATTGGTTCATTTCACCATTTTTTTGACATGTTAACGAATTTCTAGGGCAATGACATATGTCTACGTCTAAACACAATACAATATATAAGAATGGAATGAGAAAATCTTTTTCCCGTTTCAAATTCCTACAACGAGAGCGAAAGTATGAATGGTATATTTGCCTTCACAATTATTAAACTTATTTATTTGTAGAAAATAAACAAGTATTGAAATTTGAACCAATGTATCTTCCAAAAAAGACAAGAATCATATGCCTGATTGTCGACCCAAGTTTGACATGGTTGGCGAATAAGTTTTGCCCAAACCCGAGTATTTGTTAGGATGTTGGAGGCCCAGTTGGTTATCAACCCAAACTTGGTCAAACTAAGAAAACCAATTGAATTAGGAAAACGAGTTGATTCAACTAACTCATCTAAGCATTGAGTCACTTCAAACTGACATCATTTTCAACAAATCTAATCACTAGCTCTGTTGACATGTCGTCTTTTTCCTTATCAAAGACCCATGCAGCAACATACATCAACCACCCGTGTTCGGTTATCCCATAATATCTTTTCCTCCTTTAGTATCGGCAAGCAACAATACAAGTCCGAATCATCTCAAAAGCCAACACAGTTCCTCAGTAGTCAATTCCATTTTCCTTCCAGCAGCAAGGCCACATCGTCAATCAACCATATCTTAAACAAAGAATAATCCACAAGATTAGACGAACATATATTTGAATGTAGACTTAGTGTGATTAACAAAGACCAATGTCCTCATTTGTATATATACATGAAACCGAATTGGAGAAGAAAATTAAGAACATTGAGAATGGAATATGATATGCAATGAAAAGAAGAAAAGAAAAAACTAGAAAATGAAATGGAAAAAGATAAAAAGAAAGAGGGAAGAGATTTAGAATTAAAGCGTCATTTTAAAGCATCAGTTTCAAGTGAGAGAAAAGTATAAAAATGAAACCCAATTCCAATGAATAAGTTATATTAAATCGTCATTGTATCTAAATTTATCATAGAAGTTTCATAAATATCTAAACATAATGCATGTGAAATCAATAAAATTTTCCTGCATTTGAGTAAAGCTAGGCTTAACCAGGTTAATCCAATTCATCCATTAATCCTTAACCCACTTGCTTAAACGACTCATTGGTGGAATCGAGTGACAACCTTAGTCATAACAAATTAGACTGAACAAATTTGTTGTATATTTTTTAATGCATGCAATTTCAGTTTCCAAATATATTTTACTCAAATACTTTTATATAACAATGAATAACTCCCTAAATTTCGCTTAGTTTCAATGAAAGATGAGATGCTGTTAATTGATTTATGAGTTCAAATATACCTTCATACCACTAAAGCTACAATCGTTGTGATCTTTAGTTGTTCACTCACTTCTGCCAATGTTTACAGGTTCATATTTTGCTATGAAATTTAGATAAGCCCCACATCAAGGTGACATGATTCGAACCTTTAAATCTCACACATTTAAAAGAAGGAGATGGAAACTATGTAAATAAGTGATTGCAAATTTACTATTTTGAAACCCAAAACTAAAGGAATTTAGATCATCTCATTTCGCAGTAAATTAAAAAGTCTTGTGGGAAAGTGATACCTTAGCGTTGGATGTGGTGGCGAATGAACTTCTAATGCGAAACGTGGCCTAAAAAATTACCTCCACTATGAATTGCAAAAAAAATCATTCCCAAACCCAATTTGTTACCAGTCAAATCATATTTGGTAATATCACTTGAAGGTCATACCAATAAACGACTATTTAGTTTGAGTCTAAATTAGACCTATTACATTGGCTAAAAAAAAAAATATCAACTCTAATGTAATTTATGCAATTTTTTTGGTACAACAAACATAAATGTGGAAACACCGATAATGAAGGTGTGAATTGGTTTAATGCGAATAGTTAGATGATCGATATTTCTTTATAGGTATAATTATATGGACCAGTACTAGATAATAAGCTTTGGAAGCATGGCCAGGTTCATCTTCTTCCGCTCCCTTTGATTGGGTTGATCAATCATGAAAACAAAACAAGAAGATAGGGAGACTATACGTTACGTTACAGCAGCAAACAGTATCAAGGGATTAGGGAGCCTCCGCCTCCCTCCAACCAACCACGACGAAGAAAGAAACAATGTAAACAGGAGAGCAGTCCATGCTCCTGCTGTCTCCTCCTCAGTCGGTAAGTGATCCAAAAACAAATTTCAAACTGAAAAACAACGTTGAAACTGACAACACTCTGACCATAAACCCCAAACCAACTTACCGGAACTAAATATCTTCTCTTGTCTTCACCCTTCAAGTTGATCCGTGCGTGAATATGGCCCCATTAGCTTCCACCGGGATCTGTGATAGATGTAAACCCATCCTCGCGGGAGACAGTAGGGTTCCTCTGCACAAACTGTTCTCTTCGTTCGACTCCCTCGTTGGCTCTATCCTTAGTGTTCCTGGAGAGACTAATCTAATGGGTCCAACAATGGCATTACATATACTCTGGAAAACTACCTCCCTGTTGTATCCTGAATCAACTAGTACGGCCCCAGCCAAAGACACTGACATCTCCAAGAATCTAAACGGACAATGCACGCCATGGATCCACAAAAAGAAGAACAAGAACTGAACAGTTCAGCAGCCTCAGACGATGTTTTACAAACATGGACATGGACAGTGACCAGTGGCGGATCCAGGGGGAGGCCAGCCCGGGTCCCGGCCCAGCCCTCCCCTGGATTCGGAGTTAGTATAGTGTTTATAAATTTTTCGATTTTAGTTATTCGGCCTAATGTTATTTTATAATAAGATTGTGTGTAACTAGAAACATAATTCAGATTAACATATTCAAATCACTACTATAAATTTAGCCTAGAAATTCTAGCTCCAAAGACTATTTTTCTAAAAAAATAATGAACTCTAAAATTCTAAAATTCTAAAACGTAAAAGACTATAAGAAATATGAGGTTTGTTCCCTTGAAAATTTACTAAAGCAGTTAGTGGATATAGCCTTATAGGTATGGACACACAATGCACGATTGATTTGTCTAGTGTTGACGATGCTCGTATCAACAACTACTACAAGGAGAACCTTTTCAACAATGAAACATATGAAAACTGATTTCGCAACAAAATGAACGAGGAATTTCTAGCCGATTGCTAAAGTATTTTATTTAAAATAATGTATACTATTGGTATGGATGTGGACTCCATAATTGATGCATTCGCTAAATTAAAATACCGTCGTGTACAATTTATATTGTAAAAAAACTATAATGTTTTTTATGGTTATAATTTTTTAATGAAATGCGGCCCAGTGCTCTTCTGTGTTCTGGATCCGCCGCTGACAGTGACCAAAAAGGAATCAAAGAATACGATGCAAAAGGAAAGCGCAGGCAGGGGTGAGTAACGTATTCACCAAACTAAGTAAACGGTACGACTAACCTTGGGGCAAGAAGTCTCAGATTCCCAACCGAAACATGGCCCTGAAGGCAGTTCCTCTTACTTTGACACGCAGCAACTTATGTCCATGTGCAGTTTTGTGATGCACGGAGTATGTGCTTTTGTAGCCCGTTCTTGATAGCTGATTGAGCATAACATTCATGGTTTACTGAAGCCAATCTCATGTCTATCAATATCAGGATGCTTCTTGTATAGATGCAATGCGATGAGATAATCCAAGACCGAGTCTGCAAGAAAATCCAGCCTCTTCTTAGGAGAAACATTTTATAAGTCTCTTTCGGGGGCTTCACGTGAAAGTGGGAGGATTGTGTTCCATCCATCCTCGCAAGGGCTGAAGGGCGGAGGAGCATCATCAATCCCTCACCAATAATCCTGACACGAACAAGCTCCGTCTTTGAAATGATGGAAACGGTTCCGGTCCCGAACAATGATTTCTTTCTCGAAACATGCTTCATGAAGGAATGACAATCACGACATGTCCGGAGATTTTTCATGATCCTTATCGTTCTACTCCTATCAGTGAAGTTCAGAAGGGCGAATGAAACTGCCAGCTTTTCACTGTGAAAACGGTTGGGATGAATAGCTTTGAAAAGCTATAATGAAATTCCTAATTAATTATCCCGTATTTTTCTATAATACGAAATTAAGATGGATAATTAATAAAAAGAATATTATGGAGATAATTAGAAATAATTATCTTAATAAATTATATTTTAATTGTGGGAGTCATTATCTCCCTAATTAAAATGTGACGTATTCCCAAAGAAAGAGGGAATATTCTGGGTTTTCTGCTCCTATAAATAGGAGACGCCCCAGACCCTCTAAATACGCCTCAGAGAGCAGAAACACGAGAGAGAGTGAGATTCAAAGAGCTCCGGTTTTCCGCACAACACCGCTGAGCAAATCAAAAGAGTGGCTGTTTTATCCTGAGGCGACCGGCTGATAGTCTGTTGTGCGAATAACGAGGCAGTGCCGCGAACGTCTTAAATAGAGCGACCTAGTCCGCGACTCAGCCAGATCGGTAACCCTAATTTTTCTGTTCGGTTTCTAACAATTTTAAAACGTTTGGTTTCTGTCATGTGTACCAAATAGGATACCGATTTTGGTTCGATCGATTTCCCTCGCGGCGCGTTGCTTTTTCAAGATTGCCGCAGTCATATCTCTTTCATAACCAGCGTGCTGAAATTATGTCCAGAGTCAAGTAGCCACCTTCGGCGGCGTAAATCAATGAAGAAGGAGGAAACTACCTCCAGGTTGCACCACCAATAGCACTGAAAGCAAGAATTCCAACCCCTAGCCCGTCAAATCCTTTCACAATTGGGCTTCCAGTTCCGGCCCAAACTAGAGACGTGAAACCCCAAGTTGGTCTCGTGGGGGCACTCTTGAATAAATGGACTGGGCAAGTTATGGAAGAGAATTTATTTCATGGGAAAGAATGACAAAGTTGACCTAGGACAGGATAAAGAAGCAAAAGGGGATTTTCAGCTTCAGTTGCAGCCACGGTAATCTAGATGAATCTTTTTTTTTAGAAGGAACCCGTATGAGCTTCAGTTGCCTTTTGCCTTTTACTTTGACAATTCTTTAATTGCTTTGGGTGCCGCAAGCTACTTTGACAGTTCTTTGTCAATTTTTGTTTCACAATTATTTAGTTGCTAATGAACCCTACGGAGCAAACTATGGAGGGTGCAACCGCGACGTGTTCCGTTCCAGCAAGTTGCTGCGTGTAACTAATAGGGCCCAAGCCAAGCGATAGAACGCTCAATGAGAAGCAGAAGTTATCCTAGAAGCCATAATCCACGACCATAGAACAAGGAAAATGCACGATGTTGATTGCTAGTTTTAAAGGTTGTGGAGAGAAGCAAAACGAGCAACAAAGAAGCTATGTATGGCTAGCTATTAACTGCAAATGTTAGAAGGGAATGACTTCTTGAAAGGAGGTAAGAACTAAAACCTTCCCCATGAATCATTATTGAATGACAAATTTCATAGGGTTTTGTGCATGAAATTGAGAAAGGTTATGAATGCTAGAATGAAAGCTTGAATTGATGCATGATAACTTGACATTGAGATATATTACGTATCTCGATGATTAGAGCATAAATTGAATACATGCTATGGAAAGAATATATGATTTTGTCTAAATGTGTGCAATGAAGAATATATGGGAATAGAATGGGTTTATTGCCCATAATAACGATATTGTAAGAAGTACTATTATTAGTACTACACGAACCACTCAGGCTGCTCTGAAACATTAAAGTTTCAAGAATGAGAGCAGCAAGTCGAACCAGATTCATACCAAATAGAATGGTACCCTTTGTGGTAACCATAAGATTGCCACCCAATCCTCTAAAAATGACGCTATGTTTCTCTGTTAAATTTGTGAGAAACTAGGTCATAAGACACGAAAGTGTAAGAACAAGTTTAACCTAGTGTTAACTTGACTAAATAAGAGGATTTGGTGATAATAATCACTAATGGGGTGATAGGCCTTAATGGCAATTCTGGAAAAATGGTGGTTGGATATTGACGCCTCAAGGCATGAATCTGATAAAGTAGCTAAGCTCAATCATGCATTGAGGCATATTGAAGGAGAAAGTGTTGTTGGGCAAGACCCTCACCACTATTGTTGTTGGTTCTGGGAAAGTGGAAGAGAACCCTACCTCGAGAAAGTCATTGACTATCCTAGACGTAAGGAATGGTTAAGTAGATAAGATAAATTCTTTCAAGTGTGTCTGTGTGAAGAATTAGAATATCTTATATCACATTCCCATATTATTATTAAATGCTTGAGAAAAATATGAATTTTGTATATCCAAGCTAAATGACCCATAAATATGTGGTTAGAGAATCAGAATCGATAGATCTTATTTATTTTGATATGGGTAAACAAGGTGGAAAGACAATAAATTATTTATTGCTCTATAAAGTGTTTTTGTCTAGTTATTGGAGATGCTAATTTATAATAGCTTGAGAAATGCTTAATTGCATTGTTACTGATTGCACTGATTATCAATATATCGCATGCTTGTGGTAGAGTTAACAAACCAGTGTAGTGATAACTAGAAGAGCATATGAGTTTGTTTTATGTTGTCAACAATAAAAACACATAGTTCCTATGAAATGAAATACTCATGTTGCTGTGAAATCCATTGATGCCAATAAACTTCCATTTGAAATCAAGAAATAGTGGGGGTAGTGCCCTGCCTACTATTAGAAATAATGGATCTAGTGGGGGTGATGAATTTGAGTATGAATTCACAAGAGACAAATGAACCATAAATCACTTAAGGATTTTGGTTATGAATTTGTTATTACACCCTAAGAAAGATCCCACAAGTCTGCTTGAAGTTTGAACTTCCATAAATATGCAGATTGTTGGGATAATCCATTATTAACAAAATGGAATTTATGGAGTCTAGTAAGACTTAGAATCTTGTAGAGTTGCCTCTTGGTTATAAAGTCTTGGGTAATATATCGGTGGAACCGAACAAGATCTGGCATATTTGAGAATTACCTCCTGGCAATAAAGCCAAGGTAATTAATGGATTCCTAAAAGGACAAAGTGAAACCTAATGGTTTAGTTTATGAGTATAATGATCGCTTGGTAGCTAAGGCTCTAGGTGAGGAGGAAAATTGTATATTTCTTTGATATCTATTCACCAATATGTAGAATAACAACCATCATATGGATGTTAAAACTTCTTTTGTGAATGGTGGCTTAGATAAAGAAATCTACATGAGACAACCTAAGAAGTTGTTATTCTAGAACATGCTTCTGGAGTCTATGGTTAGACAAATCATTATATGAATTGAAATAGACTCAGAACTCGTGGCATGATTAATCAGATTCTCTCTCATGGTTTTAAAAGTGAAAGTGACAAGTGCATTTAGTACAAATTTGAGAATGACACTTGCATTATGAATGACACGTCGATCTTTGGTACAAAGACTTGTGATGTCAATATTGAAAAACCATGATGGTTGAGAATTTTGATGAGAAGGATCCAAGTGTTTCACTTAGAGATCCAAATAACTAGGACAGTGAAAGAAATTTTTTATTGATCAATCTAACTGTTTGGTTAAGATCTATAAGAAATACAAGTTGTACACTTGCCTAAATGTTTGAAGATGCTAGTACAATTTTTAAAAAGAGCACCAAAGACGGTGTAAGAAAGTAAGAACATACTAGCATCAATAGTATGCGAGAGGCAGCTGATAAACATTAGACCCGACATAGTGGGGGTACTTGGCAGGTTTACTGATTGTCCTACTATGAAGCATTGAAATGCTATTGAAAGGGGTCATGAGATGCCTTAAGAGAACAGTAGACCTTGATATATGTTATCAACGGTTTCTTGCTGTATTGGTAGGGTATATTGATGCGGACGAGAATACCCTATAGAGGCTCCAAGATAACCAGAAGCTATGTTTTAAAGTTCTGTCTTGGAAGTCTAAGAAAAGAAGTAAACGACCCTGGCTCAATCAACTAAGAAATCAGAAATGATAGAGCTAGCAATGGCTAGTAAAGAGAAAAGTTTATTGAGAGGGTCATTACTAGAGATTCCCTTATGGGAAAGACCGATCCTTCCGGTAGTTGATTCATTATAATAGCACCGCAGCTATTACTAAAGAAGGGAACCGGTTCTAGAACGAAAAGAGACGACAAATTCATCGTAAGCACAGTACTGTAAAAGATCTCCTAACGATAGGAGCAACGAGGGTGGATGATGTAAGATCCTAACAGAATCTAGCTAATCCTTTGACGAAAGGATCGCCTAGAGAGAAAAGTCCAAATACCATGAAAGGTAAGAGACTTATGCCTACCGAACCATGGATCACAAGTGACGGTAACCCGACCCGATAGACTGGAGATCCCAAGAAACGGGTTCAATGGGTAATAACAAGTCATGAGTAATATTGAGAAAAGTTCATGCATAGTGAAGCATGAATCCCAAAGCCGTGAAGGTTGAGTTAAACTCTTAATGAGATATATACTCTTTGTGGAGTGAAGTACTTTACTTTGGGGTACTTCTGATAGACTCACCTATGTGAATGTGGGAGTGGGGCCGCTCCTTATGGAACTTTGGAGGCACAAAGTTGCTAGAGCGTTCACTGAACCGGGATAACGTTCATGGCCATAAACGCACAGCCTATGAGAGAATATCACTCAACAAAAAGATCCGGTGTGCTACATTGTCTGAGATAGGGTTCAAGACTACGAGTCACCCTTATGAAATCGAAAGTGTAACCACTACGCTAAGGTTAAAATCTTCGCGATACCTTAGCTTATGCCCGATCTTATGGAACTGTTGATGCTCAGAGATAGTTTCAAACTATTCAAGTGGGGGATTGTTGGGATGAATAGCTTTGAAAAGCTATAATGAAATTCCTAATTAATTATCCAGTATTTTCCCATAATACGAAATTAAGATGGATAATTAATAAAAGGAATATTATGGAGATAATTAGGAATAATTATCTTAATAGATTATATTTTAATTATGGGATTCATTATCTCCCTAATTAAAATGTGACTTATTCCCAAAGAAAGAGGGAATATTCTGGGTTTTCTGCTCCTATAAATAGGAGACGCCTTAGACCCTCTAAATACACCTCAGAGAGCAGAAACACGAGAGAGAGTGAGATTCAAAGAGCTCTGGTTTTCCGCACAAAATCGCTGAGCAAATCAAAAGAGTGGCTGTTTTATCCTGGAGGCGACCGGCTGATAGTCTGTTGTGCGAATAACGAGGCAGTGCCGCGAACGTCTTAAAGAGAGCGACCTAGTCTGCGACTCAGCCCGATCGGTAACCCTAATTTTTCTGTTCGGCTTCTAACAAAAACCAACACTCTGCTCCTTCTCCTCATCCTCAATGTCATAGAACACACTTAACTTGTGGGGCTCATAACCTTCAACTCTGAGATTATCGATTATCCGCTGTAAGTAGACCTTGACTTCCTTGCTGCGACCATGCACCCCTAGCCCGTTTATCAATGCAGTCCAAGTACTTACGTTTCTCACAGGCATCCGGTCAAACACTCTTATTGAATCGTTTATAGACCCGCAACGTGAGAACATGCCAATCAACGCAGTACGGCAGTACCTAATGCAACAATAAGCTCCAACCCATTTCTGGATATATACGCATCAACCCACGTCCCCAAATCCACTGCTCCGATGCTCGAAATGGCAGAAGCCACGCTAAGCAACGTAACCTCATCAGGCTTCACGCTGCCATTAATCTGGATCTGTCGAAACAGAGCCAGGGCCTCTGTCACAGAACCATTATTGACAAAGCAAGCAATCATCGAAGACCAAGAGACCACGTCTTTCTCAGGCATTTCCTCAAACATCTTCAAAGCATCTGCCACCCTGTCGCAGCCACTATAAACACCGATCAATGCGTTCTGCACATACACATCCGAGCCGAAACCCATCTTCAGAATTACCGAATGAAGATGCATGCCCAGCTGGAGACGAGAGCAGGCCTTGAGAATGAAGGGGAAAGTGAAGTGATCCAGCGATACGCCAGGTTGGCGTCGCATGTTGCAAAAAAGGGAAAGAGCCAAGAAAGGGGAGGAAGCAGCATGAGCTCGAATGAGGGTGTTGTACGCAAAGGTCACCCTGGCGCCAAATAGTTGATTCCGATGCATTCCTGACGCTGCTTCAGGCTCCAAAGTGATAAGGAGGAGCTATACTCGGATCAACATAACAACTTACCTCTCTCTCAATTATGTTTATGTTGCTTTCTGTTCCTTAGTTCACATTAGTGGTTTCTCCCCTGCGTAGGAATAGCTTTCAGTTTCAGTCTCTAAATGTATAAATACTCATAATTAATACAATGAGAATCAGGATTTCTGAGCTCTTTCAGGAGGGAAATTTTTATCGGGTAGCTGGTATTCGAGTACCGACTACCCAAGAGCCGTTGATTGGGAATTGTACTGAGCGCCAATTCTTCGCTGATACCGGAACGTTACCGGTAACTGTGGTGGAATTTCAGTCGACGGCACGTTAGCCGAAGACAGTGGTCGATTTCTCTTTCAGTCGAAAAGCTTGGAGATCTATGCTATTATTGTGGGAGGATCGGCCACCAGATGCATTCATGTCGCTGGAGAAACACATATATGCTTAGAGGAGGCTTAGGGACACCATCTAGGAAGTATAGTGCAGATTTGAAGGCGAATAGAGCATCCCAAGCCTCACCTACTGAGAAGAACAGGAGACACTCCCAAGAAGCTGTGTGAGGCTGGGTAGCCCGCCGTCCAGTGGAGAAAGAAGATCGGCGGATTCTCAGGGTGGCGCGTGGAGTGGAGATAGGGAAGCTTTTTCATCCCCAACAGCAACGATCGTGGAGAGAAGGGCCCACCCACAATCTTGTCCACCAGGGTTCTCTAAAGACAGGAGAATGGTCTACACCCCAACGGTCACTGAATTCTTCCCAGAAATAACAACTCAATTACATGGCAAAGCTCTTAATCCGAGAAGGCTAGAGTGTGATTTGGAGAAGATTGCAGTGGCTATGGAGGCTAGGTTTGATCTGAATGAAAAGCAGAGAAGGGGAAAGGGAAGGAAGTGGAGGTTGTTGGTAGATTCCCCTTTGAGGCAGGGTTGGAGGCGAGTAGGGGGGGGGTGCAAGGAGTTGGACTAAGGGTTGGGCCGAGGCCCAATTCGATGGACCTCTTCCCTACTGAAGATGAGATGTTGGCCCATGCTATTTTTGAGGAAGGTAACAATAGACTTCAAAAGAAAAGAAAACCAGCTGGTATGGTGGGCCTGGAGAAATTTATCCATGGGATGTGTTCTCCATCAAAGGGCCAAGTCCGAACAACTGCTGCAAATGAAAAAAGGAAGACAGTTTCTAAAGGGAAAAAGACAGGAGCTGGGAAAAACATGAGAGGCCAGCGTACAGGGGAGGAACAGGGGAGCAGGGTCCCAAGTTCATATGAGACTGAAGGCGGGTACGATGAAGACAATCCCAATGAGATGGCAGCGGTGGTTCGCCAAAAGCCACCTTATATTGAATGAGTATCATGAGCTGGAACTGTAGGGGATTCGGCCAACCCCTTACGAGAAGTTAATTGAAACGACTTAAAAATTGTTTTGACCCGTCGATCTTTTTTCTCATTGAAACAAGGAAATTGGAGATCTTCATGGAGGAGAAAAGAAGAGAGAAGAATTTTGTTGATGGACACTATGTTGACCCCGTGGATAGAGCTGGGGGTTAGCAGTTTGGTGGCAGCACGGAGTTAATATTAGTATCCTTGATAGTAACAAGTATTATATAGATGTAGTAATAGATAATAGTTGTAAGTTCTATTGCACTTTTGTTCATGCCCCTTCGAATCCTAGCGATAGGAGGGAGTTTAGGAATTTCCGTAGTTCTCTTAGAGATGATAGGGAAGATAAATGGATTGTAATAGGGGACCTCATTGCGGTGGTAGGGGAGCATGAAAATTCGGTATGAGAGTGTCAATCCCTTCAAGAAATTCATCTTTCAAAACTCCCTTATTGATCCGGGATTCACTAGTGAACCGTTTACTTGGACAAATAAGCATGGTGGAGACGGGTTGACAAGGGAACGATTGGACAGAGTTCTTTGCTCAAGTTCTTGGAGATTACAGTTTGATGAAGCTGCTGTTTTTCATGAGAATTTGGTCAATTCTGACCATCTTCCCATTAGGCTGGAATTATTTAGGAGGAAAGGTCATGGTAAGACTTCTTTTCGGTTCGATAAGAGATGGATGGATAAAGAAGAATGTGGGGAAATTGTTGCGGCAGCTTGGACAATGGGGGGTTTTTCCTCTAATAATTTTGCTAAGTGTGAAATAGAGCTTAAAGCATGGTATAGAAATTCCCACAAGAATCAAACGAAGAGGGCAAATGAGATTCAGGATAGGTTAGCTACACTCCAACGCCCTCCTCGGTCAAATGAAACTATCGAGAAGGAGAAGAGGTTTCTTGGAGAGATTGGTAAGATTTGGGCCGATGAGGAGGCTTTTTGGAGACAGACCTCGAGGGTGAATTGGTTACAGGAAGGTGACAAGAATACACCTTTTTTTCATGCCAGCACTATTAAGCGGAAACATCAAAACCGCATCTCTAAATTGAAAAGAGAGGATGAAACGTGGATATCAGATGATCCACAGCTGAAAGCACATGTTAAATCCTCCTTTGAGCATCTGTTTACAGCAAGAGAAGGGAGGCGGTTTCATCACCTCTTACATGATTTTCCCCAACAAGTGACTGAGGCAATGAATGTGGATTTATGTGCTCTCTTCACTAATGAGGAGATATGTAAGGTGGTGTTTAAATTGGGGCCAAGTAAATCCCCTGGGCCAGATGGATTTTCTGGATCTTTTTATAATATCATTATTGTCCATGAGGTCCTTCATCAATTCAAAATCCATCGTTATTGATATAATCAAAGTAGCGCAGGGTCAAGCTTCTCAAACCAAACAAAACCGGATAGGATGGAAATCGATCGGACAGTACTCACCCGTGAATAAGGGCAATCTATATATGAATCGATCGGACAGATTCAACTCGGAATAAAGGGAAATTGATATGGGTAGCTCGCCACAACTAGGGTGAATACCTAGCTGATAAGAGTCGCTATAGCACTCTGGAGATTCTCGACAGAGTAATTAGGGAAAATTCCACGTATGAAACTCGGCAATAGCCTCTGAAATTCAATAATAATCGTCTAAAGGCAAACCAACGTGTTCTGCCCTTTAATTAGGCAAAGTACAACCCAAATCCGACTCCAACATGGAAAAACAATCATAAACTGAATTTAAAACATGAAAACTAGGAAATAGCCCAGCAAACCCGTTAAGCCTGGACCCATTAAGCAAACTCGTTAAGGCTGGACTCGTTAAGGCTGCTTCTTGCAATCTGCCTTCTCTTCAGCACTTCCTCCTTCTTCCTCCACTCGAATCATCATATATGGCTTCCCTCGAAATAGCTCCACATCCATGGCTCCAAAGTAGCTCTCCAAATATGTCGCAAGCTTCCCCTTCAACGTCCTGGCCTTAGCACGTGTGACTGGCGCATTGATGTCCTCATTAGCCCCTCCTTCTTCAAAAGGATTTGCCCTCAAATCCGAATTTCCATCCAAATAAGGTGCAAGATCAGAAACATTAAACATTACACTTACTCCATACTCTCCCGGCAAGTCGATCTTGTAGGCGTTGCTTCCTATCTTCGAAACCACCTGGAAAGGACCATCACATCGGGGCATCAACTTTGATTTCTTCTGCTGGGGAAACCTCTCCATCCTCAAATGCACCCACACCCAGTCGCCAGCTTCAAAGTGCATCGGTTTCTTGTTTTTGTTCACATTGCACATGATTTGCTTCGTCCTTCTCTCAATGTTCAATCTCGCCTTCTCATGTAAACTCTTCACGAACTCGGCTTTCTTGGCTCCATCGAGATTGACCTGCTCATTCAAAGGTAATGGCATCAAATCCAAAGGAGTGAGTGGATTGAAACCATACACGGGCTCAAACGGAGTGAACTTCGTCGTCGAGTGCACCATCCTGTTGTAAGCAAACTCCACGTGGGGAAGGCAGTCCTCCCAAACCTTGATGTTGCTCCTGATCACAGCTCGTAGAATCTGGGACAGAGTTCGATTGACAACCTCTGTTTGCCTATCGGTTTGAGGATGACATGTGGTAGAGAAAAGCAGCTTTGTCCCCAGTTTGCTCCTCAACATCTTCCAAAAGGAACTCAGAAACTTAGTATCTCGATCAGATACTATAGAACGCGGCATCCCATGTAATCTCACCACTTCCCTGGGGAAAAAATCAGCCACGTTAATAGCATCATTTGTCTTATGACACGGGATAAAGTGTGTCATCTTCCAGAATCGATCCACCACCACAAAAATCGAGTCTCTTCCCTTCCTTGTCTGCGGCAAACCAAGCACAAAATCCATAGAGATGTCGATCCATGGAGCATATGGAATCGGCAATGGTGTGTACAATCCAGATGATTGCACCTTCGACTTGGCCTGCTTGCACTCCACACACCTCGCACACAGTTTCTCCACGTCTCCCTTCATGTGCAGCCAATAGAAGTGCTCTTGTAGACAACTCAGTGTCTTTTCTACACCGAAATGTACCATTAGGCCTCCTCCATGAGCATCTTTCAAGAGCATTTCTCGAAGTGATGATCGAGGAATACACAACTGGTTAGCTCGAAACAAGTAGCCATCACTTCGATAGAACTTCCCATCGCCATGCTGCTCACACTTGTTATAGATCTCTCCGAAATCAGCATCATCAGCATAGAGCTCCTTGATATGCTCGAAACCCAAATACTTCACCCCCATTGTCGTGATCAACGTATGCCTTCGAGATAGGGCATCAGCAACTACGTTCTCCTTGCCCTGCTTGTACTTGATCATGTATGGAAAGGACTCAATGAACTCAACCCATCGGGCATGTCACTTGTTCAGCTTGTGTTGAACTTTCAAATACTTCAACGATTCATGATCAGTATGAATCATAAACTCCTTCGGCCATAGATAGTGCTGCCACGTCTCCAAGGCTCGAACTAGAGCATAGAGCTCCTTGTCATACGTAGGATAGTTGAGGGCAACCCCGCTCAACTTCTCGTTGAAGTATTCTATCAGCTTCTTCTCCTGCATCAA